TGGCAGGTTGAGGTTGATCCTCAGCACAAACATATTTGTTCTTGTGCCTCTCCTGACTAAGAGGTTGAGGTCGATCCTCATCACAAAAGTACTTCTTCACGTACCTCTCTAGAGCTGAGTGCTTTCCCCTTTCTTTTATGCTCCAATTCTTTGAGCATCTCGCCGCACCAGAAGCATGTCGGAGAAGCTCCTTAAATTGGAAATCCTCCTTCCCACTCTCGGAGCAGTATGGACATCTGTACTTAGATCTAGAACCAGAAACTTTAACTCTTATGCGACCACGTTTCAGTTCTGCATAATAGAAGTCTTCATACTTCTTGAAATTATCAGTCTCAGTTTCTCTTTTTGAGCCACCAGACATCTTAGACCTAGAAAAATCACATAAGGTTGGTATACCGGTGAGCACAATAATGGTAGTCAAATACTGGGAGAAAAATGTTGAGGATTCAGGAAGTTACAAGATTAGATTTAAAAGATAACCAAAAATTAAATGGTAGCATCACGAGCAAGTAAAGAACTTCAGAATCTCAGATTAACTTCATCTAGTAAAATAATAATCAATTTGGAAGTAAACTAGAGTCACCAATTTGAAAGCAACGATTTACAACTCAAAAGTCGTAACTCTAATAATTTCTCAGCAAACAAACATCATGATGCCGATTTCACTAAATCAAGGACACAGCAAGTCTAAAATATATAATCTATCAGATCATCACTTAGAAAGCCAACTATTCGAGGCAAATGAGAATGACTCTTTGTACAGAAAGAATTGTTAGTGGAAAACATTCAATGTAAACATTTCAATAAAACTCAATTACAATGATTACTAAAGAAGATATTGAGACAAAATAAGAACAGCTCATTCCAGTAAACAGAGAGAATTATTAGTGGATGATATTAAATACAAATATTTCAATATCTCCTAGCATGACTGCTTTCTAGGATAAAGATATTACAACAGGCCGAACCATAACAATAAGCACAGCACTCTTAAGAGACATTATGTGTATGGTTTTAATGAGTCTAGGTTTATGAAACCCTGGGTTGAAAAGTCGATTGTTTGAATTATGCACAGAAATTAGTTCTATAAACTTGAGTTTGAGTTTGAACTTTGCATCACTTGTGTTTCACTCAAGATTAATGAGAGAGCATTGTCTTCCTTTACTGGAATAAATTAAAAAGAGAATATGTAGAACAAAATTAAGTTTCATAAGTTTGGTTTGGTGATGCTTGAATTTATGTAGTTAGTTCGTGAGATCAACAAATCCATAGCATGAGATAAAGTGAATTAACATGGCAAATATAGGATTGACTTCTTAACTCCATGTTACACAAACCTAACCGGGAGTCACCTACTTTTAAGTCTCAAAATAAGATGGAGGCTTCTCAAACAAATTCAGGTCCTCCAAAGAACAAACTCTATGTGATCCCAGTCAATATTACAACGAACTTCTCCTGTTACTCTCCAAATATTTAGTTCATTTCATTTATTAATTTGCAGAAATCTAGAAATCGCAAGAGCAGATAAATGAAAGTGGCAGGATATATGCTCAATTTGGACTCAAAAATCTCTTTAAGATAGAAGATACCCAATCAACACGGAAGACATTAAAATCGATACAATTCCCAAGGTTCATTCCACAATCATTTCGCACACATTTTGAACAGCCAAACAGTGCATCAACACTAACACAAGGCCATCAACAGACACAGCAAAACGAAAACCTATAAGCTATAACCTTATGCTCTTCAACTCACCAAACAAAAAAAAAAGGAAAACCACCGAAGCGTGAAAAGGAATTAAA